TGGCATTGCTACAGTGCTGTGGAGGCTGTAAAATGCTCCTATCCTGAGAAGCTTACAGTCTCATTTTTATCGAAACACTGTCTTTTAACTAGAGCTGTTGATTAATCGCGGTTAACTCATGCGATTAACTCAAAAAAATTAATCGCTATTAAACAATAGAATACCAATTGAAATTTATTACGTATTTTGGATGTTTTCCAACATTTTCATATATATTGTATTCTGTGTTGTAATTGAAATCAAAGTGTACATTATTTATGATTACAAATATTTGCACTCTAAAAATGATAAAAGAAATAGTATTTTTCAGTTCACCTCATACAAGTACTGTAGTGCAATCTCTGTCGTGAAAGTGCAACTTAGAAATGTAGATTTTTTGTTTGTTACATAACTGCGCTCAAAACCAAAACAATTTAAAACTTCAGAGTCTACAAGTCCTCTCAGTCCTACTTCTTGTTCAGCCATTCGCTCGGACAAACAAGTTTATTTACATTTACAGGAGATAATGCTGCCCTCTTCTTATTTACAGTGTCACCAGAAAGTGAAAACAGGCATTTGCATGGCACCTTTGTAGCCGGCATTGCAAGGTATTTACATACCAAATATGCTAAACATTCCTATGCCCCTTCATGCTTCAGCCACCATTCCAGAGGACATGCTGCCATGCTGATGACACTCGTTAAAAAAAAAAAGCATTAATTAAATTTGTGATTGAACTCCTTGGGGGAGAATTGTATGTCCCCTGCTCTGTTTTACCCACATTCTGCCATATATTTCATGTTATTGCAGTCTCAGATGATGACCCAGCACATGTCCTTCATTTTAAGAACACTTTCACTGCAAATTTGACAAAATGCAAAGAAGATACCAATGTGAGATTTCTAAAGATAGCTACAGCACTCGACCCAAGGTTTAAGAATCTGAAGTGCCATCCAAAATCTGAGAGGGACGAGGTGTGGAGCATGCTTTTAGAAGTCTTAAAGGAGCAACACTCTGATGCGGAAACTACAGAACCCAAACCACCAAGAAAGAAAATCAACCTTCTGCTGGTGGCATCTGACTCAGATAATGAAAATGAACATGCGCCACTCTGCTTTGGATTGTTATTGAGCAGAACCTGCGATCAGCATGGACGCATGTGCTCTGGAATGGTGGTTGAAGCATGAAGGGACATATGAATCTTTAGTACATCTGGCATGTAAATATCTTGCAATGCCGGCTACAACAGTGCCATGAGAACGCCTGTTCTCACTTTCAGATGACATTGTAAACAAGAAGTGGGCAGCATTATCTCCTGCAAATGTAAACAAACTTGTTTGTCTGAGCGATTGGCTGCAGTAGGACTGAGTGGACTTGCAGGCTCTAAAATTTTACATTGTTTTATTTTTGAATTCCGTTTTTTTGTACTGTACATAATTCTACATTTGTAAGTTCAACTTTCATGATAAAGAGATTGCACTACAGTACTTGTATTAGGTGAATTGAAAAATACTATTTTTGTTTTTTTTACGGTGCAAATACTTGTAATAAAAAATAAATATAAAGTGAGCACTGTACGCTTTGTATTCTGTGTTGTAATTGAAATCAATATATTTGAAAATGTAGAAAACATCCAAAATATTTAAATAAATGGTATTCTATTATTATTTAACAATGTAATTAATCACACGATTAATTTTTTTAATAGCTTGACGGCCCTACTTTTAACACAAAATTGCAAGGGGTCCACCCACCTCTTTAAGTGACAGCATTACGTGTCTTAAAGACAAGTAGATGTCATCACTGTAGGAGAAGGATTCAGTGGCCCATTCAAACCCCAGTTAAACAATGATGCTGAGCTACCTGCATCCCAATAAGTACGTCTCCCTACAAGGTGTCCCTCTAAGTAGTGTTGAGCGTAGACCACAGGGGGCATTGGTGGGCATGTACCAGTCTTTATTGGCAACTGGAAAGGCTTTTGGTAATTGGAGAGGTGTCTGGGCTTTCTTTGAAGATTTAGTAAGGGTTTAATGGGTGAACTGAGATTTCAAGCAGGCAGGATAGCTGTGAGTATGTTGTTCAGGGAGAGATTATGAAGGTTATCTGCAACTAGAACAGAACTGAGGGGGAAGGTTTGAAACAGAGTTTGGGTAGGAGGGAGTAGGCAGGAGTTTTTCTTCCTTTTGTGGGGCCCATTTTTTCTTTGGAATTCTCCCCAGAAACTATGTTACTAGAAAGATCAAAGCCAGGAAATTCAGATAAATCTGAAAGGTTGATTGGCTGTCGTCATCTGATAATTTACCACAGGGGTTGGCAACCTTTGGCACGCTGCTTGCCAGGGTAAGCACCCTGGCGGGCCGGGCCGGTTTGGTTATGTGCCACGTCCGCAGGTTTGGCCGATCGCAGCTCCCACTGGCCACGGTTCGCCGCTCCAGGCCAATGGGGGTGGCAGGAAGCGGCGCGGGCCGAGAGATGTGCTGGCCGCGGCTTCCCGCTGCCCCCATTGGCCTGGAGCAGTGAACCGCGGCCAGTGGGAGCTGCGATCGGCCGAACCTGCGTACGCGGCAGGTAAACAAACCAGCCCGGCCCGCCAGGGTGCTTACCCTGGCAAGCAGCATGCCAAAGGTTGCTGACCCCTGATTTACCATGTCAGAGCATGGAATTACTTTTGTGCTTGCATCAGCTTAACCCTTGTTTATAAAATAAGCACTTTCCCAATAATTTGTTCCATATCCTAGTGTTATGTGATTATGAAGATAAAATACTCCAGCAGCCTACAGGAACTGCTCAGAATGTCTCATTTTACAGAAGTGATACTGCAGTCTTTTGATTCCTTTCTAGAAAATGCTAGTATTTTTTCTTATGGAAGCTGGTGAGGCCCAGACCAGGAAGTGCAGAATCATATGACAGTGTGGCTAACCACATTTTTTGAACTTTAAATAAGTCTTAGTTCAAGAGTTGGGGGTATTTTGAATGCATTGTCATATCGAAACATATTCTCCCCCGCCACCTTCCCCCCCAAAAACCCACACCCCCTGATCATTACTGGGAAACTTGTTCTTTACCTGGGTGCTTGGCTCTTTGTCCCTGAGTCTGTATTCAGTGCAGAACTTGGAGAAGGGAGTGCTTTTCTAAACCAAGCCCAGGAAGTCATGTTAATGCACACAGCAGAGTGTGAAAGAGCTTTAATTTCTCAACTTCTTTAGAAAATTAGTTTATGTAATTAAAACAATATTAAAAAAAAGACAGCAAGGCCCAGTTCTCTGCTGAGAGTGGCTTTTCTATTATCAGCCCACAAACAGCAATAGCTCCTTCATAATTCTTCCTTCCTGCCTTCCTTCCTTCTTTCTGCTGGCCAGGGCCTGTGACCAGGCTTATATAATCCTCTCGTCATCACAATGGTTTCCCCAAACAGAGATATAATTTCTTCATGCCATGTTAAAAAAACACATGCACAAAAAGCAAGCCAAAGCAAGGCTAGGAAGGGTGGACACAGGAAGAGTTCTAGAACCCCCGGGATCTGAGTGGACAGAAGAAGGAGAAGGAGTTTTTAAGACCACAGCATAGGACGGGAGAGAGAAGAGGAAGAAGTTTTAGACCACAGGCTCTAGAGGGACAAAGTAGGGGAAATGGTTTTAGACCTTGGGGTCCAGAGAGAGAGGGGGAAAGCAGGTGTGTATACCCTGAGGTCTGCAGGGAGGGAGGGGAGAGGAGAAGCCATTTTAGACAACAGGATCCAGTGAGAGGGGAAACGGGCGAAATTATAAACCTAAGGATCTAGAGGGGAAAAAGTGGGGAAAGAAGCCATTTCAGACCTGAGGTTCTGGAAAGGAGAAGCAGCTCCAGTATCTGAAGAGCAGGGGAAATGGAGTGGGGTTTTTAGATCAATCAGCTGTAGGGGGAGAGCAGAGGCCGCCAAGCAGATGCTTTAGATCCCAGGCTCTGGAGACAGAGGAAAATGAATAAAGGATTTTAGAAATAGGATACAGGTGAATCCCTGGGATAATGCATCTGAAGTGGGTGGCCCCAGGTTCCTGACAGTTGCAGCAGAAATTTGCATTTCTCGTGTGGTGGAGAGGGGAAATTATTTCAACACTGATCTCTAGTGCAAGTGCAGGAAATAGCTCATTGTCACCATTGTCCCAGAGAGCTTCAAACCACAGCAAGGAGAAGGGAGGCTACTTTCTCTTTGCTGCTGTACAGGAAAATTCAAAACTTGCCATAACTGAGTGAGATTGGTTGTGGGTGAAAAATGTTCTTATTTCCTTTCCACTAGAAAATGTCCCTTGTAAGGCTGATATTAATATCCTTCTGTTCTCTCCTCAGTTCATCCATCTCAGGAGCCTGGCTGGTTGGAAGGAACCCTGAATGGGAAGACAGGACTAATCCCGGAAAACTACGTGGAGTTCCTATAACTTTGGGCACAGAAGCAACACTGCTGAGCTTTACATGGTATCCATGACAACTGCTGATTAGAGTGTTGTAGATCATTTGCTCTTTGCCACTGTGAAATGCAGGGTGAAGGACTTTCCGATTCCTATTGAAATTAATGTTTATACGAATGATAATGTATATGTCTCCTTCGGTGATCTATTGTGGTGTGTGCAAATATACTGCAGAAGGGGCGGTCAGAGGCTCCATGGAGGTCATTCAGCTCTTCCAACTTCTAGTAAAGGCGTGTGATTCCTACAGCCACTGCTCCCACATTCTCAACTTTGTTCCTTTTGTTGAGCCATTGTATCAATGAAAGGAGAAATGGCGAAATACAGGAGCTTAAAAAGGTACAATAATACCCATTTCAGGGCCCTATTCTGCAAACCCTTGATTTGAACTAGTAGACCCACTGACATCAACCTTGACTTCAGTGGAACTGCTTATGTGAGTACTACTAGCACAAATCCAGGGTATGTAGATTGGACCTTAAGCCACCATTTCACATTGTGGGAAGGAGATTATATGAGAGAGAGGAGGCTGTTGCCATTTCTTGCTCACAAATTCTCCCCTCCTTGTTGAATCAGCCAAAATTAATCTCTTATTAGCTAACAGCAAAGCAATCTCTCTCTCATATAGCTGTGAGGAGGGGAGAGGTTAAGGTACTGTTTACATACGTCAAACCACTAACCATTTCTGCAGCAGCAGTTTACACAGCCCTGAGCCATTCTTGACGGGATTCAGTCCAGTCTCGACAAACGCAACACACCATACCCTGGAGCTGATGATAGCCCTACTTACTTAGTATTCTATTTTTTTAAAATGCCATTGTTTTCTGATGGTGAAAGCAAAAACAAAAGAAGTTGAATGATCTCTGTGGGTTGAGCGCAAGATCAGCTGTGAATTTTCAGCGCTCTGATGAGCATCAGCACAATGGAGGAGAGAATATTTTGGACCAAACCTTTCATAACTTTTTTTTTTTTAGATTTAGATTTATGCTGCGTAAACATCTGTGATCTGTGCAGCTGGCATTTCCTTCCTGGAAGGCAAGTTGCAGCTCATGATAAATACCACTTGTTTTGTGTGACTTGCTGATTCGTGTCATCACTTACCAGTGCACATTGTAGAGAGAGGAATCCATGCTTACTGAATGCCCGGGCCACTCTTACGTCAATTTTGGTTACCTTTGCCACTCACTGCAGTTGCTTTTATAGATGGCGTCTTTGCTTGCAGCCTAGCATATAGTCTGGTGATGCCAAGTCCGTGCAGTACTGATTATACAAAGTAAATCTTTTGTAGCTATATAAGCATTTATTGTTCATGTAGCCAATTGAAATTCTAAGGAAAACAAACAATTAGTCCTTCCAATGGTTTTTATTTCCCCCCTCTGCGCCGCCCTTAGAAAGTCTTGAAGCCTCCTCTGTTGAGTACCCAGTTTGGGATAGAGTCACTCCAGTCCTGTATTGTTCTCAAGAAAGATTTTTGCATAGTCCTTAGCACAGCTCAGATTATATTTAAAAAAAAAGAAAGAAAAGAAGAGTCAAACCTTCCTGATATTTTGGCAAGTGCTACAACATTTTATAGTAGAAAATTATGAGAAAAGCTGGCATCTTGGCAGGAAGAATTATTTGTCTAGCTATCACATTATCACGCAGAGATGGGATTTAGGGAATGGATTTATTTTCTGTTTTAATTATTTTTTTAAGAACTTGAGTGCTTGAATTGCTGTATGTTTCACTTTTTATTGTTGGAAAAAATCATATGTAAATAGAATAATTTGAAATATTATGAGGGAAAGTTCTGTTTGATATTTGTAGCGGAGCTGTAATAAGCGAGATGTTCCCTGGATATTTGAAACCAGTTTACAGGGAAAAACACACAGGCATCCAACCTAACCTTTAAACATGTTGACCTTTTCTTTCATTTTGTCACCTACTCTGCCAGCCAGCTGGATTGAGTTTTTGCTCACTTTTTAATTTCATTTACATTAATTAAACTTCCTAGACTTTGGGGTTGGAAGGAGACAATCTAATATATATTATACATAAAAGATACGATACATAATATGTATGTGTATTATGCCATCATGCACATATGTGTGTGGGAGAGAGATATAATGCACACACACGCCTTTGTGGGTTTTCTCAGCAAAATGGAGCCAAGTTAAGGGCTTTCTTTACTTACGTCTGTGTGTGACAGAGATGGGAGAAAGTATATCTTAGCTTCGTGGCAGTTTGTTTGCCTGTCCTTCATCAAAAAAATAATTAAAAGGCTAGAAATTGTTGAAGAAAGATAATGGAATGTTAAGGATGAAAAACAAGTGATTGGCAGACCTGTGCAGAGGGGGAATGGACAGATTTCCAGTATATCCAAATTAAAAAAATAAAATAAAAAATAGCCAGGTACAAAAGTTACTTAGCTAAAGCTTGCTCTTACTATTCACTGATTGACTTTTAGAAGCCATTGTTACCTGACTTTTCTGGGTTACTTTAATGTCATACTTGTGAGCTACACAGTGTGACTGTCTGTGAATAAATTGATAGATAAGATCATACCCTCTTTGGACCGGACTGGTTAGATCATCAGGAAAACTAACTGACTATAACTAATTCCGTCCTATAGTATTTTCTGGTTTGAAAAGTAATCAAATTAAGAGGATAAAATGGCGGGGGGGGGGGGAGGATTCATAAGGGATAGAGGAGAGGTTGTTTCACCAATATGTTGCGGATTTAAATCCACCCTCGCATGTTAGCAGCTAAAAAAAATCTACCAGCTGATTTGTTTGGTCTCCTGTGTGAAATTATTGGTTGGTCTTCATCCATATCCCAGTGGACAGGTGTCTGTATTGCAATATTCACCACTACGATGAACCCTCATTGGCCTTTAAGTTGACATCAACAAAGAAAAACCAAAGATTTTGAATGGGCAAGGGAGAGTGAAATAACTTCTCAACTCAGAGGTGAAGGACACCCCCCACTGCAAGCAGGATGGTATAACATACACTACTGTTATCTATGCTGAACCTGTTCTGTGGGTAGGCAGAGGGTTTCATCCTCCATGACTCAGGCATGTTTGTTCAGTTTTCATAGATTCATAGATTCTAGGACTGGAAGGAACCTCGAGAGGTCATCGAGTCCAGTCCCCTGCCCTCATGGCAGGACCAAATACTGTCTAGACCATCCCTGATAGACATTTATCTAACCTACTCTTAAATATCTTCAGAGATGGAGATTCCACAACCTCCCTAGGCAATTTATTCCAGTGTTTAACCACCCTGACAGTTAGGAACTTTTTCCTAATGTCCAACCTAAACCTCCCTTGCTGCAGTTTAAGCCCATTGCTTCTTGTTCTATCCTAAGATGAACAAGTTTTCTCCCTCCTCCTTATGACACCCTTTTAGATACCTGAAAACTGCTATCAGTCCCCTCTCAGTCTTCTCTTTTCCAAACTAAACAAACCCAATTTTTTCAGCCTTCCTTCATAGGTCATGTTCTCAAGACCTTTAATCATTCTTGTTGCTCTTCTCTGGACCCTCTCCAATTTCTCCACATCTTTCTTGAAATGCAGTGCCCAGAACTGGACACAATACTCCAGTTGAGGCCTACCCAGCGCAGAGTAGAGCGGAAGAATGATTTCTTGTGTCTTGGTCACAACACACCTGTTAATACATCCCAGAATCATGTTTGCTTTTTTTGCAACAGCATCACACTGTTGACTCATATTTAGCTTGTAGTCCACTATAACCCCTAGATCCCTTTCTGCCGTACTCCTTCCTAGACAGTCTCTTCCCATTCTGTATGTGTGAAACTGATTTTTCCTTCCTAAGTGGAGCACTTTGCATTTGTCTTTGTTAAACTTCATCCTGTTTACCTCAGACCATTTCTCCAATTTGTCCAAATCATTTTGAATTATGACCCTGTCCTCCAAAGCAGTTGCAATCCCTCCCAGTTTGGTATCATCTGCAAACTTAATAAGCGTACTTTCTATGCCAATATCTAAGTCGTTAATGAAGATATTGAACAGAGCCAGTCCCAAAACAGACCCCTGCGGAACCCCACTTGTTATGCCTTTCCAGCAGGATTGGGAACCATTAATAACAACTCTCTGAGTACGGTTATCCAGCCAGTTATGCACCCACCTTATAGTAGCCCCATCTAAATTGTATTTGCCTAGTTTATCAATAAGAATATCATGCGAGACTGTATCAAATGTCTTACTGTTTTGTCCCCTCTATGCAGATGATGTCTGGGTTCTGTAGCCCCTCCCTCACCTGAAGAGATGGGGCTTCTGTTTCTTTGGTCTCTGTCTAACACTCTCAGTCATTAGGTAGGCTGGCATATTTCACCAACATTAAATTCAACTGAAAAAATTTGAAAGATTTAAAACACAAAAAGAAACCCATTTGCTTCTCAAGACAACCTGTCTGAAAGTAATTTGTTTCCACGATGAGTTACTTTAAAAAGTAAGCTGGTTCTGTGTACTTAGCTCTTGTAATCAGTTCTTTTTAATGACCCGGCCCAGAGGCCTCATTTAAGTGAATGGTAGTCATGCAGTTTGAACCTTTGGCAACTGTTTTTAAAAATATACTCCTTCTTGCTCAAATGGATTCAACAGCCACCAAACAGACCCATTGGCTTTTTACTGCTTGATACGGGTTGTATCAAAGTGATCATTGATTTCTGTGGTATTTAGATTAAATCTTCTCCACCTCCTACAGAATGCCTATAATATCAATCAGGATTGTCGTGTTAATTTCATAGGTGCATTGCCTATGTTGATATGTTTGCAGAGGTCCCAATGGAAAGGAGAGGAAACCTAACTTGTTGGCCTGATATGATTGTTGTTTGTGCGTATCTGTGGTTTCCATACCATGACCCCAGTCCTACAGTCAGATCTGCCTCTGCATCCATATAGCGCCCCTTTGAATCAGTGGGGCTCTGAACAGGTGAAGGGGTTTGCCTTTGTTTTAGCTTTTCAAGGAAAACTGCATTGCAATATAAAACATAATTTAAGTGTTATAGGTAACATTTTCAAAACCATTTAAGTGACGTACTAGCCTAAAGCTATCTCTACACTTGCCAGTTTTAGCGCAAAAAGTCAGGGTTTTGCGCAAAAACCACGCTAGCGTCTTCACTGGAAATCCACATTTTGCACTGAAACTGCTGAGTTTCAGCGCAAATATAAACCCACCCCAACAAGAGTCTTTTTGCTTTTTGAGCCGATGCTTTTGCGCTGATGTGCCAGTGAAGACTCTTGATTGTTTTTACGGGTCTAACTGCCCTCCGGAGCTGTCCCACAATGCAGAGTGGGAGCACCCGCTCTTGGCAGTCCTGCCTGCAGGTATGCGCCCCTCCACTTTAGCTCTGTTCTGACAGCCTGTCACTACCCGGGACACAAAACAAATCATTACTGCGGAATGCTCCTGCTGCCTCCCACAATGGGAACAGAGGCAGGCAGACAAAATGTGCTGTGCAGAATCAGGGAGGGAGGCGAGGGCTGAGGTCAGGGTCACCCCCTCCCCCTGCCTCAGGACTGGTTGCTTCCGGCGGCTGTCACACACACACATCCACCCCTGCCAAATAATGATTTGCTTTGTGTCCCAGAGCAGTGCATAGTGGGATAGCTACCACAGTGCGCTCTTCTCATCTGCGATGCAAGTGCTGCATATGTAAACACACTCTGACGCCTGTGGAAAACAATGTGAACACAAACGGGCAATTTTTTTTTTAGAGCTTTTCTATCACCGACAAAACTGTCAGCGAAAAAACTCTGGTGTAGACCTAGCCTCAGTTCTATTTTTACTTGGGCACCTAGTGCCTTTCAGTTAGACTATGGCCAGGTCCACAGCAGAGTCTTTTGCCTGCATATTGATGTCTGTTAGGGGCGTAAATTTTGCAACATAGCTATGCCGGCAAATGCCTCAATGTAGATGCAGTCATACCAGTATAAAATTGCTTTTGCTGGTATAGCTTATTTCACCTGCAGAACTGGTATAAGCTATACCAATAAAAACACTTTTAAGCTGCATGTGTACTAGGAGTGTTTTGTCAGTGTAGCTTTACCAGCAAACCTCTTTAGTGTAAA